AGAGAGGATGTTCAAAAGTCACTCTCCTAGCCGACCCACTTGACTTTTATTCATGAAAAACTTGAGTTACAAGAAAGACAATTTTGTCCATCATAGAAGATGGGACACATAACTTAAACTCAGATACAATAGACATTTCACTTTCAATAAGATACACCAGAATGACCAAAATGCCCCTGACTCGAGCATTCTAACAGGTCTCAATCATTTTCTGCAAAAAAAAAAAATCTTGCGATTTTTAATTGAATCCTACGATTTGATTCATAAATCTTATAATTTATATGATTTTTGCAATTCAAATAAAGAGGTAAATTTTAATTGAATCCTATGATTTGATTCATAAATCTTATAATTTATATGATTTATGCAATTCAAATAAAGAGGTAAATTCTATTGTTTTGGGTGCATATATGGTAGGTATGGATTGGAAATAGAGAAGATCACATTTCAGTGTATATTTAGCCATTCAGTATTGACAAGATCTTATGATTCACAATACAATTCGATTCAACTTTCCTTATGATTTACGATATGATTATGATTTTCAGAACATTCTCCGACACAGAAACTATAGTTAAACCACATTAATTAGATGCTCTAGTGAATCAGCAAAAAAGCACCAAGTAGATGCTCTAGTGCATTGGATTAGATGCTTTGTGCCATGTCAAACAACCATATGCATATATGTTATATTAAGCATGTTGGCTGAAGGGGCCTCAATGCAGAACTTGAGAAAGCACAAGAAAGAGAGGAAATTAGTTTTAGAAAAGGATCAACAAACAACTTTGTTATCAGATGATATTGAAGTTGCAGGTTTTACTACTATTGGATTACAGTTCATATTTCTACGTCTAATTTTCTTGTTAGCAGTAAAATTCTCCCTTTATCAGGCATTCAGGCTTCTTGATTATGATTTTCTGCAGCATGTCTTTTTACTTATTTTTAAGTAGATCAAATATGCATGTTTTATGAATTTGTATCTATGTTTCTTATTTTGGAAATGCTTCTTTCAGGGGCATCTCTGCAAAGGCAGAGAAAATACCGTGATGCTATAAAATACCACTCTATGGTTCTAGCAATATCTGACCGAGTAGGGGAAGATTCTGGCAACACTGAAGCTTATGGAGCAATTGCTGACTGCTATACCGAACTTGGAGATCTTGAGCAAGCAGGAAGATTTTATGATAGATACATCTCAAGATTAGAAACGGACTGATCTCTGCCCTGTTTTTTGTGTTCTTTTTTTTTTGTCCTTTCTGATGTTTCATACTAGTAGAGCTTTTAATCTTGGATTTGTAGATGGTATTTGGGCCTTGCACTCATGCAGAATAGTCCTTTCCTGCGGTATCTGGATCATCTATTGGAATCAAGTCGAGCAAATCTGTTTCAATAAATATTCTTGTGAATTATTGTAGGAATCAAGTAAATAACATTATTTTTCAATGTTAATTTGTTGTCAATTTTCGGTCCTAAAAGTGTTGTAGAGGATAACTATTTGCTGTTATGTATTAGCCTATTAGGTGATGCGAACAGAGGGAGAATTAATAATGGATTACTCTCTCATGTAGTTGTGTAGTTACTCAATTGATGATATTTGATCATCGTCATTATTATTATTAGGTGGTTTGTTAATCGGATCAAGGTGGTTTCTCAAACAACCTACTATGTTTCTACTATGTGGGTGTGGCGAATCCAAGTTATCTATTAGGTAGGGAGTCCTTTGGTTTGGTCACTTGTTCAATCCTCCAATGCCCAACCCACATCAGCCCTATGTCACACTTTTTATTAACATTGGCCTTTGAAGGTTTAAATTGTTATTACCCAATGTTGGTTCCAGCTATCCAGTATCCTGGGAGGGGTGGACTGGACTAGATAGGGACATGGATGGGAAATTCGTCCAAAAGGCTCATTCTGACTATGGAACAAAGACTTTGGGCCTCAAGTTTACCCTATGAGGATCGTATCAATTTGCCATGTCGAAGATTCTTTTATTCTTTGATAGTGCAGAGTGCAGAGGTTGTGGTTGTTATTGTTAAACAAATCACCACCTCATCCAAGACAGACTTGGGCAGACCACCTGATGACCAGCTTGATTCAGATCCCAGGACAAACCTTAGGTGTGAAATGTGAAGCTTGGGCTTGGCTTATCAAAATTTTGATGGGCTAACCTATGATCAGCTCAACTTGACTACTTCTAAATCTAATGAACATTAGGCTTTTCAGCTTTATTGCAAATATGCAAACCCGAGTTGCCCCAGGGGAGCCATCCCCCCCCCCCCCTCAATGGTCTAGAAATCCGCACACCGAATACATTTTTTTATGTAAGTTTTCTCCCTCTATTGCCCATCCATAAGTTTTGGCCTCCCTCATAAAAAATTCCTGACCCCACCCATACAAGTTATAAAATCCATGTGGGACATGGACAATGCTTAGTTCCCAATTCACAATAGGCGTTTGAATACCGGCACGCATGTATAGTATAACTGAATTAGTTTGACCCGGTGAACCACAGTCAGAGTAAAGCTCGATAACAACCTAAGTTGGGTTAATGGACATCCCTGTAAGCTGGATTTGGTTGGACGGGGCAGGTCTGAACTCAGGAATATCTGAATACCGAATATTTCAATCAAATGATTAAGTCAGTTGTGTATAGATTCGGTTACTTTGTCCAAATGGGAAGCGTTTTTAGGAGCAAAACCAAATAACTTGAACCGCCAGTTGTTTTCCCAAATTCATCATAGCGCATGATTACAACGTATGTTTATTTTTTTAAGCAATGACCAAATGCTCTAAGTGTTTTGTCAGAAGAATCCTCCCTTTTCCGAGCTTGGAAATCATAATGATGGACAAGTTAAATACCGACAGAGGCTGTTTTTTTTCCTTTTTAAACCCAAAATAGTTTTATGGCAATACACTCTGTAAAATGTAAATCAATGAAAAGTAAAACATCTTTAATGCGATTGGTTTAGATTTAGATTTAACAAGCAACTAATATCAATAAATACACTGTAGTTGAACTATGGACTCATCATGATCCCTAGTAGTAATTTCCGTTGAAATTACCCTTTTTTAGCTACCACCTATTAAAATTAAAGACTCCTTTTACATATTCCAAGATAAGTCCAAAAGATGAACTTATCAGCTGTGCCCAAATATATATACTTTTTTAAATCTTTGGCCAGGCAGTAGATGTAGCTCATTCCCAGAAACCCTAATGCCGACATCCTTCCAAAATCAAATCTAGTAGAAATTTAAACAGTGTAGAAGTAGATTATGGTAAGTAGGGCACTAAATTAGAAATATAATAAGCAAGTTCACATTTGGACAGCACTTGTAATTATAATGCATGGTTCCACAACACCCAAGACCATTGAAATAATGAAATTTAAATCAGCTTGTCATCACAGAGTGCCCCCCTGTAATCAGAAATTCAGAATAGTGCACGCGGTTTAACAGTGTATTTATTAATTTGTACAGCCTGAATTATTTGGGAAAATATAACTAGTCGTGTGCAATCCAAGGAAAAATCTTTTTTTTTTTTTTTGTTTGTGGTTCAAATGACAAGGAAAATAATTGCCTGATTCCCGTCAAACGTCCTAAAGAAATAAGAAAACCCTGTAAGCTGTAACGTGTTTGGCTTGGAGTAGGAGTTTTCTCACTACAAGTCACCAACTATATATACTAGAATTGGCCAAGTTACAGGAACTATTAAATTAGTTGTAGATACTCCGAGAATAAAACCCAAAGTTTGTGCCAATAAGCTTGCTAGACATTGGTCGCTAAGCTACCACCACGCCTTCCAAACAAAATGAAAACTCTGTTATTCCGTGTGGATTTGATCAAAATTTTCGTCACTTAGTCCCTCTCTAATCCATCTATTCTATTCTTCACTTATCTTTATTATAATCAAATAGCTTTTCTGTAGACCACACAAATGGACAAAAGAGAAGATGTCACCTACATCACTGAAAGCAACACTGGAGTATCTCTCTCTCTTTCTTGTTAAGTCCCTTTATCTAGCTCTAAAGAATAATATTTGATTATTGTTTCCAGTTTCATCATATGGGTTCGTTGAATCATTTATTATTCAAAATATCAAGTAAGTGGAGATAAAAAAACATACAGCTAACCATTAAATAAGGAGGGTCTTTATCCTATGATAAGATCAAAGACTAAAGGCAACCAATTATATTGTTATTCCATCTCACATTCAACGGTTCCATCAATAATTTCTATTTTTTTTTATAAGATTAAAGCTTTGGGTTTGGGTATTAATTATTAAAGAAGCAGCAGCTTGCTTTCTCTTTCTTTCTAGGCCATGCACAAAAGGAAATTAAATTGACAAGATACCACCTGCCACTCTCCAAAGCAGTGTAGAACACATCCTACATCAATCAATTTACAGTTCCACACGAATCACCTCACACGTTGCTTGTTTCTTTTTTCTTCCTTTTTTTTTAGCCATTTGTTAATACCCTTTTATTTTCACATAATTATTAAGAACCCTATAGTTTGCATATTGTTAAGACACCCCCTTACTTTGTATCTGCATTATTTATTACAGGTCTAATTTGTTAGATGGAAGTGTAATAATTAGAAGAAAAGAAATAACTGAAATGTCAAATTGAAATAAAAGAAAATAAAAATAAAATAAGAAATAATATAACAATAAGAAAAATAATGAATTAAAATAGAAAATAAAGAAAGATAATGGAAAATAAAAAATAGACAATAAATAATATTTTTCCATTATTGTCTATTTTACTTTTATTTTTATTTCTGTCATCTTCCATTGTTTTTTCTTTAACATTTGATTTTTCTATTATTTTTTGTTTTATTTTTGGAATAAAATAATGTGTGAGAGGGTCTTATTTCGATAAGGGTGATATGCGACTTTTTAATTTTTATGGGTATTTTTTAAATAAAAAGAAGGGTCATTTATTGAAACACCCCCTATACTTTCATTGGTTTACTTAAAACCTACATTCTAGTTTGCATTTTACTAAAACACCCCCTATAGTTTGCAATTGAATTACTTAATCGACCTTTCATTAGATGACGGTGAAAAATGACAGTTTTGATCCAAAGTGCAATTTTATTTGCACTGGTACAAATGCATGGGAGTGTAAATGTAAAAAAATGTAAATTCTCGTTTAATTTTGTTTTGGATATTACTTTATTCTGCTTCATGTATTAATTTACTTCTTTTGTACTGCAACCAAACAAAATAAGCTAAAATTTGAAACACAAATAGGTCAAAATTTACACTCAAATCATTTGCACTGCCATAGTTTTGCATCAGTTCTAATTCATTTGCATTGCAACCAAGCACAGCCTAATGTCCATTTGAATAAATTTAATCAAAAGAAAATAAAAGTAAAATACCATTTTTTTGCCCCTGATAAGACATAAGCAACCACTCTATTTGGTCAATTTTGTTTTTTATACGAAGAAGTCTTAGGGTTACTTTTGGAATAAACAATTACAGGCCCATGCCCTTGAACATTTTCCACTCAATTTAGGTGATCATGTTACTATTAATAGATGGCAAAACAAAGACTTCTTAGTGAAAGGCCGATTAAGTAAATAGATTACAAACTATAAGGGATGTTTTTATAAATTAAAAACTATATGTTAGGTTTAAGTAAATTCATTAAACTATAGGAGGTGTTATAGTAAATGACCTTAAAAAGAATTTCCCAAATGGATATAATAATGTTTTCTAATGGAATAGAAGGGCAAGTTGGGTGGGTTGAGCCTGGTATAAGCTCAACCCAGGCCTAACTCTAAGATTTGGGCCTATGACCCGAGTACGGACCAAGCCTGAATTCAAGCTTGATCTGTTCAACCAAAACTTCGGTCACACTAAAATTTATCAAAAATGTATATATTGACTTACGTATGTAAATATGTTCATATATACATACATATATGTATATAAATTGGATTAGACTCGGGCTACTTAAAGGCCAGGTTTGGGCCGGGTCCATCCTAAAAATTAAAAGTGCCCAAACTTTTGGACCCAGGCTTAACTCAAGGACCAAAAATCTAATTCCAGTCTATGTAAGATTATGAACTGGATTGGGCCCGCCCAATTTGCACCCCTGTAATTAAAGGCGCATGAAATAAAATGATTGGAAAGTTAGTAACATACAAACTACAGGGGCAGGTTGTTGAATGGACAAGGACAACCTCTAATATTAGTTTATTTAGTAACTTCCCGTGGGCCTTATCCTACATTTGTTCAATGGACATTTGGGGAAGGGCTTATCTTCTTTAGGTTTCTTTTCCCTTTATAAAAAATAAAAACAGAAAAAAAAAATATTAGAGGGTAAGTTATAATAATTAGGTGAAAGTATATATAAGGGGTGTCTTAGAGATGATCTTTTTTATTTCAATATATATGACATATTTACATTGAATAGTTTGGTTGAGTCTTCATGTCCTTTTCATTTCAGGATGGGTGGTTTACTTCTTGACATGTTCTTTCTCTCGCCTTTGGGGTTGGTCTTCACTAGGGGTGTCCATAAAAAATCGAAAAACCGAACTGAATTGAGAAAATTGAACTATAAAATGTAGTTAATTAAATCGATCGGTTCGGGATTCTTGAAAAATCAAAGGATCGGTTAGGTTTTTGATTAACCTACAAAAAAATCAACGGTTAACCGAACCGAACGGTATATATATTTTTATGTATATTTTATATATATTTTTAATATATATCACATATTTTCTATGTATTATATATAAATATATATTCATTATATATATTATATTTATAATGGTCTATTTATGAATATATTATATATTTTTCAAATATTTATAATATTTTATATATCATTTATTATTTATTATATAATATTATACATATATTTGTAAAATATATATTATAAATATAAAAAGCTGAAAAATCGAAGAATCGAACTGGTCAAAAACCGAAACTGGCAGACCGGTTAACTGGTGGTACCGGTTCGGTTTCGGTTTGGAGAATTGGAAAAACCGATACCACCAGTTCGGTTTACGAAAAAGTGCCAAGATTTAGTTAACCGAACCGTGGACACCCCTAGTCTTCACCACCTCCAAAATCCCACTCCAAAGCCTAGATCATTTTGTTTTTTTCATTTACTTTTATCAGTTTATGTTTATTAGGGAGGGGAAGAATTAAAAAAAAAAATAAATAAAGATAAAAAGATCTGGTCCCCACACAAGTGCCCAACACTGTTCAATAGAGGAGTCTGGTAGGATCTACAGCTGCAAACTGTTTCAATTCAAAATCTATGATGCGAGAAAGATATGGTATGGAAAGGCTTTTGACCAATCAAAACCCACCCATGAATTTTAATAAATAATACCTTAGTTGCTATAACATTTATGATTCCAATTTATTGGTAAATTGTTTTTTGGATACCATATCTTTTTCATATCATAATCGAAAATCGGTTTGAATATTGTATTTTTACTTGAAACTTGAAAAATTATTTTTCATACCAAGTTATTGTTAGGCCCCATTTGTTTGGGGGTGGGGAATTGGTCAATAGAAAAGTTTGATATGTTCTTTTATGTGGTCCTCGGGAAATAAAAATTTTCTTTATGTAAGTTTTTAGCTACTTACTTGAGGAAGTTTTACTCACTTAGAGATGAATAAATTGCTTTCCCATGGAAGGGGAAATTCATCAAATTGTATAGGACTAAAAATATCCTTGTCAAAACAAAAAAGAAGGATCCTTTAGAAAATTAGTTCACTTACCAATGTGGCAAAAGAACATAGATAGATCTAATTAATTAATATTTTTTCAGATAACAATTAATCGGATAAATGCATTTATCAGGGAAGCAACTTACTGCCAAATAGACGAGGCCTCGATTCATTTTTATTAATAATATATAATATTTTGATAAATTTAATTTGATTTATTAATTTATTTATAATTACATTAATAATAATCCAACTATTAAGGAAAAAAAATTATATCCAGGTATAATCCCATTTGATGTAGTTAGTTTGCATCCCTAGCGGGACCCGTCAACCTCGTCAGCTCGTCCAACTCATCGACCCATATGCATGCACATTAACGTAACCAATCGGATTGAATCAAATCGCAGTGAGAGATTGATCGAGTGATGATTCTATCTCTATGGGCTTGCTCTCCTTGACGCACCCTACGTCCCTACCCCCTTCCGTCTTGATTGATGATTGATCACATCAGAGGGCATCCGACGAGCTTATTTTCTTGTGGATCACCACTAATATTAGAATATTAATCTTAGGCCCTGTTCGTTTTTCGGTAAGTATTTACTCAAGTAAATATATTTATTCGGGTAAGTGCATTTATCTATGTTCTTTTATTTCTTATGTAAATAAGGCAATGACCATTTTAGTTATAAAAAATCATTATTAAAAGGGATATTTTTGTCTCATTCAAGTGTTGGCAATTTCCCCCTAGGTGGGAAAGTTATTTATCCACCTAGGACATGGGTACCAGGAAAATAAACTTTCCCTCGTCCCCACATAAATTTGAAAAAAGAATTTTGAATTCTTGATCAATAAAAATCAAAATCCCATTGACCAACTTTCCTCCCTCTCAAAATGCAGAAAAAGAATTTCTTTAAAAGAAGATTTTTAGGTAGTACCTAGTACTTTGGGCCTAGTGTCATTTTGATTCTTTACAATAATTTATCTAAATTTTTAACATGTATCAATCCAGAGCTTACCATTAACTAGCTGTTAATCAGTTGTTAAGTGACATTTGAAAAGGATACAAATGCCTTTTGAGTATTATCTAATTTTCTTTATAAACCCTCTAAACTGTTATTAAAAAGTTAACAGTCTCAAATCTTTACCTCTTTATTTAAGAAAGTTGGGATCATGTTTCTTATGACCTAACTTTCTTAAATAAAATAAACAGATTTGGGACTTTTAATTTTTTTTCAATGTTTAGATAATTTATAAATAAATAAATAAATAACACTCAAAAAGCATTCATATATTTTTTTACCAGTTAATTAATTAATGGTAGATATTGGAGTAACATATTTTTAGTGGTTGGGTAGTAAATTGTCACATTTTAAAGTTTTGGAGACCAAAATCACACTAATCCCAAAGTAAAGCATACTGATACTAATATAATATGGAATTCTAATCTTAAAACTCGATCAATTATTATATATGGGTACATTCAGCATTGTGGTCTCGGTGAAAATGAAAGCAAGGAATCTGCGGGTACAAGTGTAGAAGTAGATAAAAATGGTGGGACCCTGGAGACGTGAACACAATACACAATGATAATTTATTTATTTTTTCACTTAAAATATGTGAATCATTGGCAGGTGCAGGTACCCTCCAAACAAGATGGTTTCTCTTCCCCGGAGAAAAAGACAAAAACATCCCCTTCATAAGACGAAAGAGATAGGGCCAAATAATTAATAAAATATTTAATATTATTAATAAATAAATAAATAAGAGAGAGAAAAGAGAAAGATAAAGAAAATTAAAAGGTGGCAACGTCATCTGCCTAAGTCTTGAGGTTGACGACGAGAGTATTGTCCGAGACCCTACTTGTTCCCAATCCCACGTGGCTCGATTAAGCCCCTCAGCCTCTTATGCCTACACGCCTCTGCTTGTACACGTGAGGTAGGGGACCACCCTGACCCTGCTCTCCCTACACTCCACTCCACCAACCAACGTCAAAATCAATCACAAGATGTGGAACCGTTGAAAATAGAGGGCCCAGGCCCACCCGACGAAAATATCCCCCGATCATTACGAAAGAGTGTCCATCTTGGCCTTGGCCCGGCCCAGTAACTTGGCGCACGCCCACATCCACTGATCCACATGACATGACACACACTCAGTAATTCCTTCCAATGGGTCTTTTTCTAACTAGTGAGAGAAAAGTTCCCTTTTTTTTTAACTGACAATCTTCCTTTCCTTAAAATTGAGCAATTGGCCATATCTTCTGGATCCTTGACACGTGGCAAGATATTGACATTGAGCTCATCATCTAGCCATCTATCCAGCTTCCTACGGACCGAGAACGGAGAAAGGAGACGCGATTCGTTTCCTTTTCTCATCTGACAGACGTCGACTGGATTCACTTTCTTGTTTATGTATTTCTTGTCCAAAACTAACTAAGCAGCTTCTCTATCTATTAATAATTCGCAAGGCCCAGGGTAGCCCAGCCCGTCTGGGAGGGCTGAAGCGCAGCGGCTTCTGGCTTTCCGAGGTGGGCCTTATGCGCACAGCTTTCAGCTATGTATGCTGAAAAATTCAGAGGGCCCAAGTCGGCTGTCAGTGAGTCAGTAATTATTTTTTAGGCTGTTCGATTCGGCCTTTTTAGATTGTCAATCCACGACACGACGCTTCAACTCAAAGCAACCAGCTTAACTGAGAATGTTCAGGTCAGGACTCCCAAACGGGCTCTCATCATCAGGCTCCATTAGTAAATTAATTCTACGACGGGTATTATAGTCTTTTAGTTAGATTTGGGTATTATCGTCCTATCGGTTTCAGTGAAGTACAACATACATTGAATCCAGACCTCATCGCAACATAAATTTCCGTTTACAAAGTTTTCAGCGTCAACCAATCAATGGAGGATACGTGTGTAGGGCCGGCGGACCCCACCAATGAAATCCATCCAATAGTCTTCCCAACTTTTATTGATGCGTTGGTTCACTAAACTAACCGGAATCTAATGTGCGTCAGTTGCCGGCAATTGTGGGTCAGGTCTCTGTCAATTAGATCACAATCACTCTGATTGGCCATGACAGTGGTGACGTTTTTCGTAGAATTGTTTTCAAGTCCGTTCATCTTTTCTCTGCCACTTTGTTTATTTTCTTGGTGCGTCACCGTCTGATTCGTCTCTATATTTTATTCATATTAAATTAAGTTTTTTATTTTGTGATTTTTATTATCGTGTAGTTCCAAACCAACCTCAATCAATCAAACCGTGGGCCAACTAATCAATCAGCCACCCAATATCCTCATAAATTTGAAGCAACCATGAAGAGAATTGGAGAGAAACCAACACTCAATCTCCCATTTTTCCTCTCTTCGCCGGTTTCTTCGATCAACAGCGCACAATCATGTTGGGCAGGAGGTCCCGGCCGATGATCGGGAAGCTCCCAGACCCGTTGGTCTCTGGTCATGAGAGAATTATACCTTCGGAAGTAATCACAAGCCCAAAAAGCCCGTTAGACCTGAAGATCCGATCCCCTAGAGGTTTGAAGAATTGTGATCTCGGAGCCGTGGGGTTAGGCATCGTCGCCGCTCTGGATAAATCAAGTAGAAGTGGTTGTGAGAGCGAATTCCCCGCAAAATTCGTCGTGGGGAGCTTGAATTTGAACCGGTCTGATCCGATACCGGTGGATTCCACTAAAAGCTCAGCTGCTAAATCTAGAGGAGGATTGGATAGACCTGCTGACATGGACGACTGGGAAAGCTATACCAGTGTAACCCGGCATGGCCACAACAAAGCCTCCTTCGCAAGACTGTACTGTGATGGGGCTGTCGAAAATGGAACTAGTCTAGGCTATAGTAGAGATAGAAGAGGTTTTGACAGGAGATGTAACAACAAGAACAATCACCACAACCACACCATGGGTGTTTTCTGCGAGTCACCACCTAGATGGGGGGAAGAGATTCCGGCGTTTCCTACGTCAGATTTCCTCAGTGCGTGTTATCTCTGTAGGAAAAAGCTTCATGGCAGAGATATTTACATGTACAGGTAGACACCATATCTACTGCTTTTCTATCTTAAGATTGTCGTCCTAGCCATTCCAAAGAAAGAAAGAAAGAAACTTTGTTGCCAATTAAGTTCTGTTGTCGATCCTGAAACTATTATATATGGTGCTGAACGTTTGTGTTTTTGTTGATGATTGATTCTGCAGAGGAGAGAAGGCATTTTGTAGCGCCGAGTGTCGGTACAGACAGATTGTAATTGATGAGTGCAAGGAGAAATTCGGATCTGGAATTTCAAGATCTGCAGACCTCTCGTGCTCACCCTACTCTTCTGCTAATGGCCAGCTCTTCTCTACCGGGATCATTGCAGCCTAATCAAAATAATCAAAGCGATGGCAATAGTAACCTTCATAAATACATAGATAAATACACAGGCGGCAATACCAGTAAATACATGAGAGAGAGAGAGAGAGAGAGAGAGAGCGAGGGCGAGCACTGACTAATCAGTTCAGTACGTTGGACCCAGAAAAATTCTTCTTCCCAGCTTGTACCTGTAAACTTGAAATAATCTGTAATGAACAATTTTTATAACGATGGATCAAAGGGGTTTTCGCTACAACCGGACAACCTTTTTTTTCTTTCTATATTAATTGTAGTTTGCTTTTTTGTTGATAGTTGCTCAGAGTATGAAAAAGATTCGATTACAGATTATCATCAATTCGATTTTGAAGGACAGAAACTGTTGTTGTTTTATCAATCCGACAAAGCGGACTTTGTTCACCTTATTCACCTCTCTCTCTCTCTCTCTCTCTCTCTCTCTCTCTCGTTTTCCTTCGAAACTTCGCTTTTTCTGTTCATCAGCTTCTAATTATTGATGTTTTAGCCGCTTGAGCACGGAAGTGCTGTGATTGGACAGTATCTCTTGGGCATTTGAGTAAATGCATCTACAGATTGTAATCACCAAAATGCCTTAAGTGTTACATATCTGGTTTTACAGTTGAAGTTAGAGCAGGTAGATGCATGATCGTCTGTGACTGTGAGTGGAAGGTTTCTTCCCAAGGAAGAGTTTAGAAGTGGGACGTTCGGCTTCCATCAGGGCAACGCCCGTTCGAACAGCCTTTACAGCCTTGCATTGGGAATATCTCCCTACTCATATGCTTTATTTCCCGATCTCCCTTGGAATTGCTATGTAGCAATGCGATAATTGAATCGATGCTTTTTTGGCTGAAAGGAAGTACGAAAAAAACAAAAGTGGAGGAGAAAAAATGGAGGAGATCCGGAGTCGAATAGAATCGATATGATCCAGATTGAGTGAAAATTTAAAAGGTTAGAATGAAAGTTTCAGAATATACCCATTATAATGAGTGAAAGAACAGTAAGAATATGCTTGCACAGAAGACAGAACCCGACTGATGCGAAAAAAAAAAAAGATGGACCACGAAGAAATCTTGGGCTCGTAAAAATTTTAGCTGTGTGGGGGATTCCCGCACACGACACGTTATTCCATTTAGACCCTTTTTTGTGTAAAGTTTTCCACAAGGTGAATTGAGAGAGATGCGGTTAAATTTCTAGCTTCAACATTTCCCCGATCGAGATTTTCCTACTGTCTGTCTGTCCATCATCCCTGTTGATGGAGTTCCCACCCTCCAGATTGTAACCCTTCTGGAGAGTGGAGAGACTCCTTTTGGTTTTGGACGCCTCTCGGCGCGCAGTGTATCTTGATTTTAGTAGAGGAAGAATAGTAGCTTTGGCCTTTTTCAAATATATACTTTGACAGTGTTTCGTCCCAAAGTATATATCTCCTTTTTTTTATCTGAATCTGTTCGGATGTGGGTTTCTATGAGCGTGTAAAAGGGGTCCATTGCTTGGTGAAATGCTGCAATTGAGAATGTGGGTTCTAAGGGAGACCTAACTGTTGTTTTGAGAAAGGGAAAATACATCCGAACATACTTTATTGCTTCTTTTTTATTTGTTTTTTTTTTTTTCAATAATCCATATTTTCCAAGTCTAACAAGTAACACCAGGCAATGAGAATTGAGAACGACCACCCAACCTGAACATCCATAATTCACCTGGTGTTGATCTAAACCAGAAACAATTCTCCCAGTCCCACTGCAAGGAAAGGTAGCTTGTTTGATCGTGACCCTGCAGGCTCAAAGTTTACATCCACCACTTGGCAACAAAGCGGTCCCTATCTTTTCCATATTATGTAACGTGGCAAAATTTTGGTTCTTCCGAAACACAATTAACCTTTTTCCCAAATAAGCCTGATGTTGTTCTGAGATGAGCTGGATGAGCTGATAAACTGATAAGATTCATCAATTTGTGAGTGATAATAGTGATGAGAGGCCCCAAGGTGGTTTAAAGGAACTGTTCAGCCAGGGACTATCTAAGAGAATGACAACAGTGAGTGCAAATAGTGGCGCTAGGCTCACTAAGACTCTCTATACACTCTACAACCTAAGCACTCTACTTCTTTTGCTCGTATTAAGATGGCAATGGAGCAAGTTCAGGGTAGGTCTCATCCCTGATCTTTGATAAAGACGATTTCCTCATTAAGGAATTGATTGTCCAAAATTTTTAATTAATTTTCTTAAAAAATAGTTTTACTTAATAATATTTTAAATATTTTGTGATATACAATATTAATAATATCATATTTAATTTAAATAATATAGGTGGGGAAGAGACTTCACTCCCCATCCCTCTCCCCGTTCCTGCCCTCGCCAAGGCAATCTGGGGAAAATTATTGTCCCTAAAGCTCATACAACTAGCTCAGCCTCAGCTCTCCAGTTCATCTCCTCAACTTTTCCAGCTCAGCTCAGGACAGCATCAAAGCCGGAGAGAGAGAAGCAAAAATAACAAATCCAACATTACTCGATTTTATTGCGAGGTTACTCCAATTTTCTTCCCTCCAAACACGTTACAATCCAAACCCAAGCAAAAAAAAACAAACACAATTTGGATGCCTTCTTTTTCATCGGAGCCAAAAAAATAAATAAATAATCAGCTGGCTCTTGTAAACTTACAGTCATGACTCATGAGGTAAAACAATTAGGCTGTGTTTGGAAACAATTAGGTTTCCCCACCTTTTCCTACTTTCCTTCAAACCAAACATAGCCTTAGCGAAAACGAGAGAAAAAAGAAGTTTGGGTGAGAAAAAAAATTAGAAACAACTATACCGTCGTCATAAAATGGTCAAGTTCCCCCAATAATCACTCCTCTATATAAACTAGAAACTAGAAAGTAAAAAGTACACATATATCCATAACAAACGGGGAACAAAGTTGAAAGAAAACAGAAAACAAAAAGCAAAACAAGAGTTGACGTATGATTGGAACAAGGAAGATTGGGATATAAACGGTAAAAAAAAAAAAAGTGTCTACTGGTAGTACATGAGTTGCTGGGCCGCAGCAACATTCTGAAAGCCTCCATCATAAATCGCCTGACTTGCTCCAGCAGCACCCATTCCCATAGCTGCCTGCTTGAGTGCATGCTGACCCTGGGGGTGCATCAGTGCCTGGGCACCAGCCATCTTGCTCATTGCCAACTGTCTCTCGTAGGCCAAAAGCTCAGCTTGTGAAAGGCCTGACATAGGCAAAGGACCACCAGTAGGTGGGGGCAGCGGAGTTGAGATTGTCCCGGGTGGAGTGGGTTTACTACCCCACGAGCACTGCAGCATTAGAGAAGAACAACCATGTCGCAATCAATTGACAGTTTTCACCATCAACAAATGAGAGAGAGAGAGAGAGTGTGTGTGTGTGTGTGTTGTGTTGAATTATATCGTTAATTAATGCAAAGAAAGCTAGGAACCTGCCTTAATTGGCTTGCCATAGATGATGCGGCCATTGCCGATTTGAATGGCCAGAGCTGCTTCAGCATGGGTACTATATCTGACAAAACCAAAGCCCTTGTCTCTTTGCACCCTGACTTCTTCTATCACTCCAGCACCAAGGGCATGAAAATGCCTGTGGAGATCAAGTTGGGTAACCTGCATATTGTGTAATTGAGAACAGAAGATAAGCAATAATAAAATGATCGAATGAAATATAGAAATTTTAACTCAAGATTGTCCCCTAGGAATTCACCAAATCAAGGCATTCCCTTGATCCATGCATTCTTGATATAAATAATAATTCAAATTCAGAGTCCAGAGGCAGGAAAAAAAGAAAACAGATCACAGCATAACTATCAAGTTGGCTTCAAATTTCCAAGTTTGAGCATTTAATGGTATATAGAGTGGATCAGAAACCATCACTCCATGGATCCCCATGAGATCTTTGAGACCAAAAAGTAGCAATTCAGCATGATAAGATACATCTTCCAGAGAAGTTGGACACAAAACAACCAAGTACATTGACCATGGTCTAGATTCATGGTTTGTGCAAGATTCTGGTTCAAGTTTCTTGGGGATTTTTTCCCAAGAAATAGAATAAAGCATATTAGTAGAAAATAATTAAAAGGTGCGACTCTTGTGTCTGTAGATTTGTTAGGCAGGAACCACTAAGACATGGTTTTTTTATCAATAAATCACTGAGACATGGGTTTCATGATCTTTTGTACTTATCACATCAAAACTTGTACATAAAGGGCCATTACCCAATGTTGGCCCCTGCTATCCAGTGTGTTGACTGTTGAGAAGTGTAGACTGGACAATGACCCAACCTTTGGTATTTTTTGCACGTAGGTGGGTGCTCCCAGGCTCAAATCCCTGGTCAGCCCATGATTTTGCCATCATACAAAGCCAAGCCTCCTCACCATGTCAACTTATATGTGCAATGCCTTCTATTTTCTTTTTGATTGGTCTGTATACGTACACTGCATTAAAGGACCAACCTAGTATTCAGACACTAGATTTTCCCTGCCAGATACTACATCCCACGATGGACCAAATACTAAGAACGTATCTCTGATATTCAAGATATAGTTAATCAGCATAGCACTATTGTTTCCCCAAACTGCAGCTATCCTTTTATGTCCATTAGGCCAGCAATCATAATCTGTGTAACCCTAGAGAAAATTAGTCCTAGGTTGCCCTGATATATAGAGGCCGGAGGTTGGTCAATGGCCAAATTGCAGTCTGCATGGCAATGGCATTGTGCCATATCTATGGCACCAATTAAGAGAAGCTAGGACATTGGAAGCCAATCTGAGTTGCACATTCAAGTGGATACCAAGGTCTGTAAAAGCTTGCTGTAGTGTGGATGAGAGTGAATAGAAGGGAATTGGAAAGGTACTCCAGGTACAAGTGCATCAATTGCTAAGGTGTTGGCTTCTGACTTCAGTTTTTGTCAGTTGTTAGCTTCTGCTTGTTAACCACCTCCAATTTATTAGGAATGATGTTTTTTTTTATCAGTATTAGGAATGATGGGTATTGCATATTATTTTATTATCATCAAGTAATAATATTAGTTAGAATGGATGAAAAATGGTATTGTTATGAAAATTGCAGAAGAGGAAGATTTGAACTGTCATTGCTGAACTAGGACAGACTGACCCTCAATGGATTCTTGAGACACATCAACGTAAAATATACTTTTCTATCTTTTAACATGCTAATGTACAAGATCAAAGCCATTTTTCATATCAAATGTTTCTTGGTAACAAAGGCAGCATTTTTCAGGTAACATGCATTAGAATTCAAAAAAAAAAAAAAGAACTATTTTAATAGTCTATATTTTTCCATATACATGTCTATAAATCCATGTTTACTCGTCTTGCCAAATCAGACTTTTGGACAAGCACTGGATACCAACTCCCATGTCCATGTCCATAAAACAATTAAGGCTCTTTTTCTTTGCAACACGAAACTGAATCAGATACAAATTTTGCACCTAGTTCAGTTTTGCACCTGTTTGTTTGCAACTATGATTTTAACCCCTACCTGATACAAAATTTGTACTCTTGTCTCACTTGCACTCACTAGCAGAGCAAATCTTGCATTCCAAAAACTGAAGCAACATTCGCACCACTTTCCTCATACCTCAACTCTCTCATATTAAATGGGAACCACATTGTGCTTCCTACCACTCTCCTAAACATATAACAATCCTATCTCTATTCACTTTCATATAAAACAGGGAAAAATATACATTTAAAATAGAATTTACAGTCAGCCTGTTTGCACTCTTAAATATTTACACCAGTCCAAATGAAGGTAACACACAAGAAAGATGGTATTACCTCAGGAGAGAGGTTGCCTACGTAAACAGTGGTGTATTGAGGATTATTCTCAGGGCCATCATCAGTTGTTGTCTCTTGACCATCTTCTGCACAAGAGGAAAATGAATATCAGTAACCACCACAAACAGCTAAAATACTGGAGGCAGGACTACTCAGAAATCCATGCATTTAAAACATGAAACTCATAAAAAGAATTAGGAAATGCACCACAGCAGGATCAACAATATGTAGGCTAATAGAGTAAAGACCTCTTCAACAATTTCCTCCTAGCAAAAAAATTTAACATTGAAATTACACATTTTTGGCCACCTTGTGCGTGGGGGATAAGGTGATGACCTATTCCAAACCCAAAATAAGGTAAAATTTTGAAGGTTTAGGCAAATATAAATAATATATAAAATAATTTAAATTCAATGTATTATATCAGAAAACTTCATCTTGTTAGGGAGAAAAGATAAATAAACTTTGAGTCCTTTAAAAGTTCCTTAACATGATATGAACCAACCTGATGTTCCATTTGTCAACTCCACCACACTTTTGGCATCTGAGTTCTGCTTGTCATCATTAGCACCAGCACCTTTTGTTGCCCAGTTACAACGTATCTGTCTACTTCCAAGCCATTTTCCTGCCCAATTAAATTACTCAATCAATATAGCCAAAGCAATAAATATCAAACAATCATGGCTGTATGAAGCGTCAGAGAAAATCATGGCTGCATGCTGTTTTACAATTACCTATAATTACCTAATAATTTGTTTTCTATCTAAAATTCAATGTAAGAAGATATTCCAACCTCGAATGGGATCAAATGATGGTTGAGAAAATATTTATATATTTCTTCCAATTATTAGGTAATTATAAAACAGCATGCAGCCATAGAGATCTATACAAAAATATTCCTTGATGAGTTTAAAGAATGAATATTGTTAGATTCTACAATTTCCAGACAACCAAGATGGAGAAAAGCCAAAACTTTAAAGAATGAATATTGTTACCTTACATGGAACTGACTTAAATAAATACTACAACCAGTTCTTTTATCTTTTTTTTTCTTTTTTTGCGAATAAATTTTGCACCAGTATAGCAATTCTTTTTGTCCTTTGAAGCTTTGACTACATTGGCACCATAATTTTCAGTGAAGCAAGAGGCTTTGCACCTGTTATTGATCGATGTAATTTGGCAAGAGTTGTAGCTTGAACATTCCATAATTTAAGGGATGGTACATTCGTAAATATAGGTGCTTTGGAGTTTTTGCCTGGGCAAACCGCAATGAGAATAAGGTGAAGGGTCACCACAGCTTTGTCTAAAGAGTAAAGACAAGAAAATGCCAAAAAAAAATGTTCCAAAGCTTTTTTATTTTAACAAGGAGAGAACATTGTTTTACGGTGACCAGTAGTAGACCAAAGGGATGAGACAACAAAAATGCCAGAGATTTGTTGAATTTGTTACTATCAAAACGACAATATCCAATACGAATGCCATTGTAGTATACTAAATTGTCATAGGTTCCCCATCATTAGGCCCATCTAACCTATCAAAAAAAAAATCATCATCCCTATCTTAACAAGTACTGCAAGTCATTTCCTAGAAATCCCACTTAGAAGGGTTTATCAGCTAAATATTGACATATGCTCTTTAGTAACACAAGCACATCATTTAAGGTAAGTAGCAGATCAGTGCTTCTAGCATAATTCAGGATAAGCCAAACAGGTCGACTAGGTGAAGGATGATAATAAATACAGTCGTAGATTTAGACATTCTCCATGTATCAGCTATGAAGACACTTTGAATTAAAGGGGGGGCCTTAGTTCTCATCAAACAGATGACAAAGGCAATTTACATCAGCCCTCAGAGAGGGGGCAAGATTATGTAAGAGTGAACCCTTGTTCCATTGGGTTACACAAATTTTCAGCTCAATGAATTCCAATATCAATGACTCCAATAAACAGCTTTGTTGTAATAAATCTTGAAGAGTCAACATCACTGGGGCATCACATAGATAAATTGATTAAGTACAATCCGTTTGGTACAGCAGTTCCATGCTTGTACACGACTCAGCATGTCCTCACCCCTCCCTCCCTAATTCTGATCTCCAAGCTTTTCTCTTTTTACCATTATACTGTAATACTATGTTTTTTTGCTAATAAAGGACAAATAAAAGTTTAGAAAGTTGTTAGCTGATTTATAGAAATAGAGAAAATAATTATAGATCCCAAAACTGCTGCTATTAAGCTATTAAGGTCACTTTATCATTAATTATTAAAAAATAGATCAAATTATGACATATAGAAAAATGCATCAATTATACAACACAAGCAATAGTAAAACCTTATCATTGAGAAACAATTCCATAATAACTCCCATAGCTTAGATATGAATACCAGATTTCACCCACAATCAAACAATGGTTGGCATGCATTAAGATAGGTGAAAGGATAAGATAGCAATGCCTCCTTCCATTTCTAGAAAGGACTACGATAGCAATTTCAAGTTTGTTTTATAGGGAATGTAAATTTATCTGTTAATTCCTGACTAATTCAAGTTGAATAAAGGTGGTTTTGTGAATTGTCCTGTTTTGCCAAAACCATTAGCATGAAAACATAGCTTTCCATTAAAGTAGCAGTTTATTTCTTCTTTTTCTGCTGATGAATTTTGTTTCATACTAAATGAAAACCTTCAAAAGGATTGCTTGCGGGTTGCTGCAAGAAAAAAATAACCACCCAATTCCATCTCCCATAGATTCCTAGGACTCGATTTCATGAAGACTTGCTAATCCGGACATGTTACTTGATTTTAAGTTCCTGGACACCCCTACATCAAACAGTATACATATGTCCCTAGCAACCAGTTCACAAATATAAAGGTAAAGTCAAATAATCACATTGCAAAAATTGGCCTCCAATGCATGATGGCAGGTTAATATTCAGGATAAAATTAAAAAAGGAAAAAATTGACATGTCAGATCTTTCCTTACCAGTTAAATCATTAATCGCACTTTGTGCATCCTGGACAATTAACAGAAAGATGGGTAACATGATGAGAAATCATAATAGCGCAAAGGATAAGTAAAATGATTTGAGCTCACAAAAGATCATTAAAATTAAAATTAAGAGAAATGAAACCATCAACCTGTTGGTTCCGGAAAGAGACAAATCCAAACCCTCGAGAACGCCCAGTCTTTTGATCCCACATAACCCTTGCATCTCTGAAACCACCACAATTTTTAGTTCATCTCAGCAATTATAAACTGAAAAATGTGAATTACTAATTCATCTCCAGTATTCTTTGTAAGTCCGGATCTGGTGCAATCAAAAATAACTAACTGAAGCAACAGAAAAGCATAGGCTAAATAGAACTTACGAGCAACTTGGGTAAACAGAGAAGCATGCAAACAAGGTAGAATCAGTAACCTCAGGGCTAAGATCACCAACAAATATATTGTAATGACCTGCAGAACATGGGTAACGAAGTCAAGTGGTGCCCCATGGGAGTAGAAGGAAGGTCAATGAATGAGTTTGGAGCACATGCATGATAAAGATTGATAACCTGAAGTGTCCTCTCTCTGACTACTGGCATATGCCCAATTAACTTTAATGGGTTGCCCAAACCTGTCAATTACAAAGTTAGATACCAGATGCATGAACAAAGCAAAGGTAAAAGGAAATCCAATAGGGTGCAACTTACAGATGCCTCCCATTAAGAGTCAAAATGGCAAGTGCAGCTGATCTGCGATCAAAGTAGTCAATGAAACCATAGGATGACTGCAAACAGAGAGCACAAGCCACAAGGCATCAATATGATGACATCCCAATCAGAACTGAAAAGTCATTTAACTAGCAAACTGGGAGACGCAAGCAGTACATTATCCGCATTAGAGTTTATCAATAAATACCAAGTTCATTGCTTTTCCAATGTGAAGACAATCAAATGGTAATAGATGCTTCCTAGGCATTTTAAGGGGAAGACGATTCAGTAGATGGTGAGGTATGCAGCAAAAAATGAAAAGCTGACCTTCTCTTTCCTAATAAGTTTGCATCCTTCAAGTGGGCCAGCACTTGAGAATACCTCCTGAAGAAGTGGTTCTGTAACTTGCGTATGAATATTACCCACATACCTGCATTTTCTCGAAAGAAGGGAAGGAAAAACTTTAAGCTAAAGTATACTGAGTTAAAAATCTAATAATTTAAATCAAAGGCTCTGACAGACAACTAAAAACATTGTGTTCCTAATTTGTGAAGTACAATGGCTGGTGCATAAGCATTACAAAAATGAAAGAACAGTTGTAAAATAAAATGAAAGAAAAAGAAATTGAAACTTGGAAAGAAAAAAAAAAAAAAAAAAACTAAAGGAAATGCTTCCAATGATACTCACACACTGCGGCATGTACTTGAATCAAACCCAGGAGGCAAATTTCCACTTGGAATTGGCTCTATCTGCAAAATAGAAATATTAACAAAGAAAATCTAATTAATCATAAAGATCTCAGAACAAATAATATACATGACCTAATTTTGAAAAGCATCCACAAATAGAAACAAAAGAAATCTTAACAAGACACCTAGGATATCCAAAAAGGAAATGTGACTCTTCACTTCCCAGCTTTATTCAAGAAAGCTTCCAATAATAGTTAAATAGTAACTGACTCTTCCAGAACATATTTGCCAAGATCAAGAAAAAAGAACAAAAAAGTTCAAAGAACTGACTCCCATGAAAGTTCTGCTCGGTTCCGTTTGCTTTTACTTGTGCATCGTTAACAGCCAGAGTGTCAGAGTAGGTTCTTATTATTCTTTCTATTATAAATAAATACACGAATGTATCTACTGTATGTTTCAGAGAACTAGATAAGGGATGTTCTCTGGTGCCTATTTTCTTTGGGAAGACAAAATCGGTAATATTGTGTTTTCTTGAATTATCGTTTTTATTAATGAATAAAAAATTGTTACCAATACCGTTTTTACATTGCTTGTGAAGAATATAATATTTCTCCTGCACTTAAAATCGTGGTACCATAAACTTCTGCTCAGAATCAGAAACTCTGAAAGACCTGGTTCCTCCAATTAACTCAAAATTTCAGAATAATTAATATAAAGAACCTTTTTCCTGAGATTTATAGAAGGGAGTTCAGGAAAAGGAGAAACTTAGAGATATTGGTATTTCAGAAAGAACTGCAGCAGCTTACGAGATAAGTCATTAAAGATACACACTGGCTTTTTTAAGGGAACCTGAGGTGAGCACCTCGCAAGGCGTTGGTACTCTTTGTTTACCAATTAATCGTAACCAATAACCAACCAAGTGTATAAATTAAGTAGATTTTATTTGAAAAAGTATGACCAGACCATACTGCTCCAGTTTTTACATACATGACACAACACTTTCCGTCTATTCCCAAAGGAAGACGAGTAGAAACACACAACCTACAACATCCCAAAAATGCCTTTTAAGAGGTATTGGTTCCATAGCCACTTATGAGAACATATCCACTAAATAATTGGATATGGGATTCATCCAAATTTCAATATACCCCATACTCATATCGAAACGTAAACAAATCCTAATGAAACAAAGCCGTACGAGAAAAAGGCAACTTGAAGACCAAAAGGCGGCTCAAAGCCAAAACCCTAGCTGTGAAACTCCTGACCATCGAGACAGCATGACAGAAAAAAAATCCATAAAATGAAAGGAGGAATTAATCAAATCAAAATTAAAACGATCGGGTAAAACGAAGGGAATAACTAAGAAGAAAAGAATAAATCGTACCTGAGGAGGAGCTAAAAGGCCAGGATGATAAAGAGATTGCTGCTGCTGCTGAAGAAGAGCTTGCTGCATCAGCGCCTGCTGCTGCTTCAGCCTCTGCTGCATTTTGTTCCCTTTTTTCTGTGTGAAGAAAGAATTGAAGTGGAGGAGAGACTTCTAGGGTTAGGGTTCGAGGAGCGAAGAAGAAGAAAAGAGTGAAAAGAAAAGAAAAGAAAAGAAAGGAAAAGAAAAGAACAAAAAAACAAACCCTCGAAAATGAGGGAAGAAATGGAAAGTTAAAAGCCTCGAAAAGGGAATCATAGCCACCCCCAGTGGGAGCTTTTATAGCGGGAGAGCAATAAATGATGTAATCCTGATGATTCTACAAACTACAGTTCAGACTTCAGACTCCCTTCCAAAATCTCGGATTTAATCGGCAAAATCTCAACGATATTTTGGTCGGAACGGACAATCAAGCCACTGTGATTTTTAGCTATTGTTTAAGTTGTGTTTGGCATGATGCTGCATATACAGCACCGCTTTTTCGGAAAACAGTAACATCATATTTCCATTGGCAGCAATGAGCTTCAAATTGAGAAAACGTCAAATTTAGCATTTCTCCAAACCATACCTTGTAAGCCTTATTCATTTCCAAGGTATGGTTTGTGGCACCGTTTTTTATAGACAAATGGTTTCATACATGTAATCATTTTTTGGATCACTGCATTTTTCCAATGCGGCACTGATGTGTCATTGTTTTATGGAGAAACAACATCAATGCGGCACTGATGTTTTCTGGAGAAACAACATCATATTTCCATTGCATCGTTTTCTCATAAAAAACGGTATTGGGGATGTGAAGAGAAAATTATGCTTATTTTTTTGTTTGGAACCAATGTTGTCACATAGGCGTTTCTGATAAAACAATACTAGTTTTGTTTGGTACTAATGCTGGTAGCAACGTTTTCAACATTGATCTACATTATCCAACGTCCAAGATGATGTCACATCATTGCATTGTTGACAAATGACAATAATGACTGTTTCTCATAAAACGTTTAATTTGGCGTTGTTCTCGATCTCCAAGGCATGGTCTAGAGTGACATTTTTTTTCTAAAAAAAAATGGTACTAAACAAGAGAGCATTGTTTGAAGCACCTTTTTCTCTAATGTGGTAGCTACGTGGTGTTGTTTTCTGAGAAAATAGCATCGATGCCAAAAACCCACCAAGTAGTTGTTTGAAACCAATGCCGTTTCTTATAAAATGACACCATGTTTGAAATTTGTTATCTAAATATGCCTAATAACTAGTTATGCATTTTTCAAGAAAAAAAAACATTATTTTAGATCTTTTGCCTTGAAAACCAATAAAGTTGTGTGGATTTAGAAAATGCTCTTTTTTAGAGGTTTCTCTTTTTAATAATAGTGGAAAAATCTATGATGCAAAAAATATATGGTATGGAAAGAGTTTTGACAAATCAAAAGCCATCCATAAATTTTGATAAATAACACCATATTCGCTAACACGTTTATGATTCCAGTTTATTGATCAAATTGTTTTTCGGATATCATATATTTTCCATATCATAGTCAAACCCAATAATAGTGTGCTGACATGGCATTAAAAATAGCCTATGTGGCAGAAACAACAATGATACTAAATAGAAAATAAAAATGAAAAAATGTTTTTCTAAGAAAATGGCATGCAAATGTAACATCGTTTTCTCAAAAAATGCCTCTCAAGAAACAACAATAGTACCTATGAACCTTCATTTGCAATAAAGACCCCCTAAACTATCACTTGGCAACAAATACCCCTAACCATAAGTTACATGAGATAATGCATTAAATTACTAAAATGCCCACCTAAATTATCTTTAGGCTGCGTTTATCCTCGGTGTAAATTATACCTCAATGGAGTTCAACACAATAGGTTTAAAATGAGTGGACGTTGGAACTTTTTAAAGTCTTATAATTGATGTAGTATTTACATCGATTATTGATGGGAAACTTAACTGGTCACAAAGTTTACATCGACTTCCGATGTAATATTAATGTACACTCCATCCAAATTAATGAAAATACGAACAGAGAGTAGAGTTATACACCGTCCGCACTTATATAATTTTATTTATATAAAGTATATGAATATATAAATATTCAAATTATCCGAATTTGATTCAATAATGTTGAATCTCGAATTCAAAATCGGATTTTTCGAATACCGTTGACACCCCTACACTTGAGAGAAGGGGGCTACGAGAAATGAGATTTCAAATCTCATATCTCTAAGATATTTGAGAGAGAAAGAGTGTGTGTGTGTTCATATTAGTGAGATTTGTCATTGCCATTACCATTGTTAGTCACGACAGTTGCTACTCATGATCTCATTGTCAATGTTGGTCACAATCGCTACCCTAAACTCTTCTTCCAACATGTTAGGGGTCCGGTTCTCGGGTTGAATAGTCCGCCCATTCGAGCTGAATGGATGGCCCGTTCTAACAAAAAGATAAAGAAAAAATATAAAAAAATGGCCAAATTGTTGAACAGTTCGACCACCTGGGTCAACAGTTTACTGACCAAAACGGAGGTGACCGGTTCCCGATTTTTTCGATCCGACAGTCTGGTCTAGTATGGTTTTGAAAACCATGCCACTAACCAAAAAATGGTGGCCAAAATGATTCCATTTTCGAATTTATTTTTAAAACATTGTTATTTAGGCTCAATTTGGAAGGAGTACAAATACAAATCTATACTACTTTAAAAAGTATGAATGACTTCAAGAATATTTTTGGAACTTCTAAGGACGATATTTACCTCTCTACATTTAAATTTAATGATAAAAAATGATGGAAAATAAGGTAATCGGTTCTTGATATTAAATGAGTTGAAAAGAGGTAATTTAAAGATATTCAATGCATTCAATTCTCTATCATTAAATCCAACATTTAAGTTATTAACTTGCATTCATGTTCACTGAATCATATATTTAAGTCATTTTTATTTTTTATCATTATTAAGTTCTATTAATTAAACCCATACTTAATAAATTAATAATTCCAATAACATAAAAACTTATACTTTTAAAATCTACCCAACAAAAATAGTATTTTCATCTAAATGGTGGTAAGAAATTAAATCATTTTGGGTCAAATGGGTTAATCCATGTTGTCATGGTTAAATAATAAAATTAAAAAAATAGATAAAATGAAAAAAAATATAAATTAAAAAATTGGGAACATTTTTAACATACATATTAAACAATAATAAGTATGATAAATAAGAAATGTTTTTATTAATGATAAAAATGGAATGTAAAATTTAAAACCAAATCAAAATAAAAATATTTTCTTATTCTCTCCCATTAAATCCTATATTTAGGATATATTGTTTTCATCATTAAAATTTTATAATTAAATCCATAATATTAATGTTAATAGTATAAAAATAAATGTTTTGAAAATTAATTTGAAAACAAAACCATTTTCTTCCCTCCTAGTAGTGGGCAAGCAATTCAACCATTTGGGGTCAAATGGATTAATAAGTAATGCCATAATTAAATAATAAGAAGTTAAAATAAATAACTATGAAATATAAGAAGTATTTTTATTAATGAAGAAAATGGAATGTCAAATTCAAAATCTACGTAGAAATTAAATGATGTCATAGTCAAATAATAAAATTTTTAATAATAGAAAAATACAAATAATCACAAAAAAAAAAGATAGAGGAAATTTTGGGCACATATCTAATGTTATATATTTATAAAAACTAAAATATTGGGTACATCTCTAATATTGTACATTTATTATATTGAATAAAAATAACTTTTATAGATAAAGAAATAATTTATAAATGATCGAAATGTAATACATAATTTAATGTCAACGTAGAAATCAAATAATTTGTATTTTTAGATCATGAGTTAGTGGTTTGAGTAAAATTATACCATAGACAACAAAAATTAAGTGTGATAAGTAAAAAATATTTTATATAATGTAAATAAAATATATAATTTACAGGGAAAATTAAAGTCAAAATCAGTGTACATTTAAAATTAGGTCACAAGTTGGTCCAAAAACCAACAAAACTTTGGCAACTAGCTCTACATTTCAAATTATAACCCCCTCGCCATGTCATCAAAGGCTTATGTGGTTGTTGCCAACATGGGACTCTTATTCCATGTTGGACACAGCAAAAAACCTATATCGAAAATGGGTTTTCAGTTTATCTCTCAATCTCCCTCCCCTTTCTCTCACTCTCACAGTCATCTCTCAATCTCCTGCTCCCTCTGTCCCTCCCACCCTCTTAGCTTCGATCTGTAGCCAAATCAAAACCTCTCTCTCGTTCTCTCTCTCTCCCCTCTCTCTATTGTTCTCCTTCAATCTTTATCATTTTTCTCTCTCATTCTCCCTCTCGAACAATATCTCCTTCTCCCTCAATCTCTATTGTTCTCCAGTTGGTGTAAATTTCATATGTAAGAGTTTCTTTTGAATTTTTTATCAAAATGGTGTAATAATTTTTTAACCATACCAAGTTGGTCTCATGTTCTTTTATACGACCTGATTAATACCATATAAGTGTGTAAGAAAATAAAAAAACGAGAGAGGGAGAGGGAAAGAAACTGAGGAAGAACGATACAAATTAAGGGGGAACGAAAGATCAACCAAGAAAGAGAATGAGAGAGATCAAGGGAGAATGGTAGGTAGAGAGAGAGAGAAAGAATGAGAGAAATTATTATAGAGAATGTAAATACAAAAACCAAAACATTCTTTTATTTATTTTCAAATCACACAGTCATTGAGCAGATAAAGATGACTACGAGAGAGAGAGAGAGAGAAACTAAAAACCTTTTTTTTTTTATTTTCCAATCACCTAACATTAAAGGGAAATTTCAGTATAAGATTTTTGTTGTGTCCAATATGAATTAAGAGTCTCATGTTGGCAAAAGCCATATAACCCTTCGATGACATGGCAATGGTTTTTATAATTTGAAATGTAGAGCCAATTGTTAGAGTTTTGTTGGTTTATGGACCAACTTGTAGCCTAATTTTAAATGTACAATCGGCTCCGACTATAATTTTCCCTAATTTAAAACTAATCCAAAAGTAATGCTATTTTCTTATCTAGATGGTGGGTCAGTGATCCAACTTTTCAAAGAAACACATGATATCATAATTGAATAATAAATATTTAAGTTTATTTTTAATCATATTGTTACTTATGTTAATTTTCAAATTCTATCTTAACTACGATATATCTAAAATTCAAGTAATTAATATGAAGAAAAATTTTCCATATGAAACACTTGTGCTTAATTACTAATATGTATAATGCAAATACATATAA